CAATCATTTATTTTTTACGCTACAGGCAAATTCGTTGTGCAAGGAATTAAGTTCAACTTGCACCTCTCTGTTCTTTCAACGTTTATCAATCTATTTTTCCCTGACGATCCGTTTACATTTCCAGGATGAATCGATCTTTCGCTATTCATTAAACCCTTTTCAATCGATCATACAAATAATCCAAATTCGTATTGATCAATATTTCTGTTTATTCATCAATACGTCCATTGTGCTTTTATCAATATACCCGATGCCTCTTGATCAGTCGTCTTGCCGCGCATTCAAATCACTTGTCTCGATGTTTCTCTGGTTTCCAATCATTAATATTAGAGTGTATCAAAAGAATTTTCGCTTTTTAATCTCTGTATGTTTCTTGAAATATATGATGGGACATTTTAAATGCAAGTTGCTTGGATTATAAAAAATGACAGAGTACCAAATATATTTATTATATAACTGATATACAAGAGTTCAACATATTATCTCAGATTTAAATATTATATCCCTGAGACGATCACCTTCACGGGGGTGGTGTCTGTCGTTTTCCAAAATGCTGTTGAAATTTCCTTTGAGATGCAACGATTGATCTTTGGTTGGTGAAGTATGCTTCTACTACGTATACAATTTCTTCTAGAGTCCACGACATTATGAGGGTTCACCATCATCAAAAGAGTTATCAGATACTTGTAGAAAATGGAAAAATCTTTTGGGATGCCCTGTATAATATTCTACATATCTGTTAATGTTTCTTGCTATGCTAAATGTTTCCAAAAGTTCACTGTAGGAATCTCTTTTGCCTTGTGTCTTAAGGTATCATAATTGAGAACTTTTAATCTCAAAATTCTGGCCTTTATTTAAAACGGAAAATCTACATCAGGTACCATATATTTCTTTTATTTATTCTTTTGTCCTTATAATACTTATTTAGGCTGCTTCATTTACAGTTGACTATATTTTTCGGAATATTCTTCTCCCTTTGATATAGACACTTATGTCGGAGTGAACGGACGCGTTTTTTTTTTCATTGATCAAAGTAAGCGATGTCGTATTTTTTTTTAAAGAGGAAGTCTTTATGTTAGTCATTTTTGTGATGTCTGGCAAGATACAACACTTAACACTATAGAGTCAGTCGTGATAGTAGTATTCAATACTCAGCTAGACAAGTCACTGAAATAGTTTTATCTCCTCCTTTCCTTCTAGACAATTACCCAGGACTGCTTATCATGAATGAATCTGCTCATTCATGATAATAACAAGGGTAATTAGCACTTACCACAACAGTTATCCATTTATTCTGATAATTTTATTTGTTTATTATACTATAATTTTGCTATATTATTAGGCATTTACAATAATTCATTATTGAAATGCATATTTATTTATTTTGATTTATTTATTAAGTCGATGTATCCATCCATTGTTTTGTATATTATTTTTAAAATAATTGATTTAGCAAGTTTACTTTATTAAGAATGTCTATTATCACTATGAATTGTTATATTAGGGACATTAAATGGATTGTAATTGTTAAATTAATTATATACTGGCATAAATAATTCTATATTTATATTTAAGCTTGACGTTTCTATTTTTTTATGAAAGAGGACGTAATTTTCGAAATTGTAGGAAATGCATTTCAAGTCGTAATCTTTGACTATTGGTTCAGTATCGTCGATTTCTTTCCCTATCATTTATCATTCAAACATATTTTATCAAAATTTGCCAATAATTTTATTCTATTAACCTTTTCTTATTTATTGAATGTAGTAACGTAATATTTTTTATGGACGTATTTTCAAATTTGTAGGAAAAGTGTTTCGATTCGTAACGTTGTTTTGTTTACTTTTTTCTTTTGGTTCAGTAGTGAATTTCTTCCTTTATTATTTATTTCTCAAATATTTATTTTTAGCAACAACAATAAAAAGATGTTATCGTATATTTAATGATAATTTTATACTTTCTTAGTTCCATTCTTTTCTTATTTACTAATTCGTTTTTATTATTGTCATTAAAGTAATAAGCCAGACTGGTATATTTGATAACGAACTTTTCACGCCGACATCTAGTGTAAAATATGTAAGATCGTTCCTTGTCATAGTAGAGGGCTTACATGTCCCAGTGATCCCAAGAGCAAAGCCGTCTGGAGTTCTAACTTCTGCAGGACCACCCATTGGCGGTAAGGTCGAAGAGGAACTACCAGACAGGACGCAGCCAATCCCCGAAGACAAAAAAAAAACGGAATAGGCAAAGATATACACGCTCACAACGGCCAAGCCAGGAAAGAGGGCAACACCAGTGGGGCTAGTGTAACCAACGAGTACCTTGTAGCAGTCTTTCTAGAGATGGGGTCTCAACAAATACACCCGGATATAGGGGTGGCGTCCCACATTTTGCATCAACTAGCGAAAGAACTATCATAACGTCCATTCAACGCTTAACAGAATTTACGGAGAACTGAGATCAATCTCTGTTAAGCTCAAAGAAAAAAAATTACAGTTTGCTGGTCACTGACACCTAGCGGACAGAGAAATCGTCTCATCTTTACTCCTGTGGCTTTCTTCTCGCGAAAATTGAATTTTCCAGATACCATGGCTCGGGACTCAGGGTTGGACAAACAGCAATACAGAACCTCCCATGTCGGTAAGGTTGAAGAGAATGCAGCAGACAGGACGCAAACAACCCCCGAAGACACAAAAAGGGGAATAGGCAAAGATCTAGACAATCAAAACTACTAGGAATTGTCAATGGAGTTCCGACCAACCATAGGGAAGTCGAAGAATGATAGTGATGATAATGAAGGCAGACCTTGACAGATCAAGCATCCGACAACTCAATGTGACCAGGTTCTCCAGATCTGGCCTGTCTCAATCGCCTTTGAGCTACGAGGGAGACGCTTCTGGCCAAATGTTAACCCTTACCCTCCGTCGCGCGGAGCTGTCCACCAAAATCAAACTAACGCGTATGGATTCGTCAAACTCTCTTTCATTCACAGCTATCGCTGCCAACACCACCAGGATATAGAAATGGAATACGGAGAGAGGATGATAATCCCGATGATCAGATGCGAGCGGGTGCCGACAGCCGACGGCTGTCTTTGAAACGCATATATAGGTTGCTTCTCTTATTTTGAGTTCACTGTATGTCCCAGAATATTGAATGTATATTTTCAACATTTGATTGAAGATATTTTTGTGCGGAAAATATGCATCCGATATTCTGAGACTTCAAATTTAAATATACGTGTATCGTTTAAGTGATGTCACGTTTTGAACGAGATCACAGAGCTTGGTACTATCGGAAACAGGTATATAATTATTTCAGAGGCCTTATAATTATTATGCCCTCACCTGTGGGGAATCTTGTATTGAATACGCGATTATTGTTTTGCATAAATATATGTAAGGTTATTCAAAAAAAAAAAAATGAACCGACGTCATGACGCATTGCTTCAGTTCTCAAGCACCATCATGGAATGAGTCAGTGACCATTTGAAAGAGGAGTTTTCTAAGTTTTGAATGGCTGCCACACGGGCGCTGTCGTCTCCGGCAACGTTCTGTTGTTTGTTTACCCCGGGAATGGCAAAAGACAAAAGGCAATCTGCGTTCTCGAAAACAAATACGGTTGTCACGGTACAGCGTGCTTTTTGAAGGCAATTCGACATTAATCCGCCCTCTCCTAAGGACATTCGACGGTGGTTTAAACAATTTCAAGAGAGTGGGTAAAGGAAAAAAAAACTAGGACGACCACGAGTTTCGGAAGAACAAGAACGTGCCGTGAACTTGCAATCTGTCAATCCATTATCTGGCGTGTTCTAAGAAGACGTCTACATTTGAAACCGTAGAGACTACGCCTCGTCCAGGCACTTACCAAGACCTTGCACTTTGTACTTGCGAGATCCCTAGACATCACCGTGTGTGATTTTTTCTTGTGGGGATACGTAAAAAATCGTGTTTATGTTCTACCGCTACGCACTAACCTCGATGACTTTAGACATGGAATAACAAAAGCGTTAAATATTTTCTGTTTGTGGGAATAGTGATGATGGTGTTTGCATATTTACCAAAGAGCCAGACTAATAGGAGTGTATGTGTGCGTCTACATATGTATATGTGTATTTGAGGAAGTGTAAGTTTCTCTGACGGCGCAGGCGTTAGATCTGAAAAGCGTTATAGCGATTGCTATGTTTTTCACTCCCACATACACTCCAAGTCATTTTATTCGCCAACGATTAGCTAATAAATTACTACTACTTTTGTATAGGACAATTTATCTTTTGGTTCTGAGCATACTTACCTATTCTGTTTAGTACGTGTGTAGTGATTGGTTAATTTTTAACCAATCACATATTTTTAATGTAGAGATCAAGTTTTCCCGCGGTTCCGTGGGAGCCTACCTCTTTTCTTTAAATAGGACAACTTTTCGCCAGTAAAATCCAGAAGATCTAGTAGATCCCAGCCGTCAACACAAATCCACGATCTTGCTCATCACACTCTAACACACACACAGACACAGAATTTCGTAGCTACAAATTTACATGTTCTCTCTGTAACTTTCGCCAAGCACAATTTACCAGAACTTTCTTGATTCTAACCAGTTTATTCACATTTTCAAGCAATTGTATTCTTCGTGTTATTCATTCTTCACATGCAAACTTTGCTCTAACAATTATTTCGGAACATTTATCTCACAATAGAACTTTCTTCAAACAGCTGATTACAATCAATCTACAGTCAAAGGGAAAGAACTTCCTTCTCTTTAATCTACATTGTGAATACGATTTTATTTCATGCTTGTTGTATTTTGTTCAATCGGCATTAACTAACCCATAGAGGTGTTGATATGCCGCTAAACAAAAGCAAGCAATCGCTTTACTTAGACTAACCACAATACGAATGTACTTCTAGACTGACAGGTCACAAGTCTAAGATGGCGTCAGCTAAGAAGGTCAGAATTTGCCTGATGTTAACCAAGTGAGGATCTCTTCTAAAATCTCATAGCTTTCAGCCATATCATGTTGAAACACCGGTTCTCGTATGACCCCGAAGTTAAGCAATGTGGTGACTGGTCAATACCTAGATGGGTGACCGCTTGGGAATACCAGTTGCTGTAAGCTTGGATGTGTAAGCAGTGTAATGGATAATGTCTTGGAATTGTTAATCGGAGGGCCGAGTTCCAATTCGCATTGGGTTCGTTAATATTTACTTACGCGCAAATACTCTTGAGAAAGGTATAAATCTACCTCTTCTCCCCCAGCTATGGATTAATTAGTAAGACTTGTATCGTTAAACCATTATTATCTCCAAAAAAATAAAATGAAAAAATTGCGTACAAAATATTTAGAAATATGAATTAAGGTTTTGAGATGTCGCTAAAAAAAAACCAACGGCCAAAGAACGAAGCCAATTTCCCACGTACTCCAATTGTAAGGAACTCCCATGTGAATCTTCAAGTCGATATCCAATCAATATCTACTACTACTATCATGATTTAACTGCATGCTACCTCCTCTTACATTTATATCACACCTCATGTATTCCTCTAACTTGAGTGGCTTTCGAGCCTAATATTTGGTGGACATTAGTAAAACAAATGATAATGAGTTGAAATAAGCAACTCGCAAATGTCTAAGAAGGTACGGCTAACGAGCTATTATGAGAGGAATATACTTGTCAACATTCAAAGTATGGTAGAAAAAGGAGGGAATTATGTTGAGAAACACCACTTGATATCCTGTGATATTTGTATTCATTTTGATATTCTTTATATGAATCAGCTATTGAGATGATAATAAGATGTTTTCCTTATTTCTAAAAAAAAACAAAAGAACATCTTAAACTGGCACACAGTGAAATAGAAAGAGAGAATGAACAACAAAAAAAAAAAAGGTTTAGAACTTTCTTTTTCTTCTAAGTTTTTAAATAACACTCACCATTTCAGAAACATTAGGAGCGCGACAGACTTCAAGTCATTTCTTTCAAAACAGGTTTATTCAAAAGAAAAAAAAAAGTCATAACGAGTGTCATCGACTCGGCATCAAATAAAAAAAAAACCTATAGAACCTGGTCATCATTTCGGTTCTATTCCTTAAAGATTAAGTGTTTTCTCTTGGCGGGAAATTTTATCCATTCGAGCAAGTCTCGAATTTCGATTCGGGTGACAGATCAGCAAGGGCAAAGGAAACACTTTCTCAGCTGTCAATGGCGAACATTTGGAGCGAGCAATTCGCCAGTTGGCACCCCTTATTTTTCGTCAACATTATACGGATGTGTCGACATAATTCACGTTTTAAAAGAAGATGCTGGTGATTAATTGATTTCGTGAAGGTAAAGATCCTCTCTTGCTACCCGCTAACCCCCTAAAGAGAAAACTTACACATTTACACAATATATATATATATATATATATATATATATATATATATATATATATATATATAGAAAACTATACATAAATTTTTCTATATGAAGTAAGATTTTGGGGAAAAAAACTATGACAAAGTGGTAAATGTTTTGATGTGTTGCGTTTCAGCTTTTAAGCCATCACCGGAAGTGATGTTTACGTTGATGCGGCTACACATGCGCACTGAGGAAAAGGACCGTTGAGAATTTTAAATTTAAATTTATTTTTTTAAATATATGTTTTGGTCGATTTCATCTACTTTCCTTTTTCTTTTTGATCATGTTTCCATCACTTTTGTTATTAAATATCCCACATTGTGACAATATATCTGCCAAGAAAGGTGAAATGTAAAAACCTGGACGTAAATTTACTGTAGATGAGATCGCTATTAAATCACTTTGTATATATTTTTGTCGAAGTAAAAATACTTTCTCTTTTAATTAATATAAGATTTTTTAAATCAAAGTGATGGTTACTCATTAGGGTAAGAAGTAATGCATTGAATCTATAGTTTTGTATAAGGTTTTGCGTTTATATAATCTTTATTTAAATTCCTTGAGGTTTCTCCGGTATATTCCTTGTGGTAATTATTACAGGTAATAGAGTAAATTCATCCATTATGTTTTAGCTTATTATTATTATTATTATTATTATTATTTGTATTAATTAAATCTTTTATTGTTTTAGAAGATGATGCAACAAATTTTTTGTTGAGTTTAGATAAATTATTTTCAATTTTAGTTGTGATAGAGTTGGTGGATAAGGCCATATATTTTGATTCATTGGATTTGTCAGGAAGGTTTGCTTTTCTATAACTCCATCCGGGTGAGTATTTACAATATTTTCCGGGATAAAGGTCACCCGGAGATGTTGTCAAACGGACGGTGTAAGGTTAACCGTTTTAAGTCTCCCGTGGTTTTTGGGAGGTTGAGTATGTGGGGCTAACCATCTTGTGGCTGGAGACCCGGATTGAACAGCACGTACCTACTCATATGAAACAGGATGGAGTCAGGAACAGTATTCGCTTGACTCAGTCAATTTGTGAGTCTACGATTGGACTACATTTAGTGAACAACCCGGTTTGTATTCTGAAGAAGTGTTTAGGGTATTTCTCAAAGCTCGGTCCGCTAAATATTTGCGTTTCCTAGAAGCAGTTCATACCAAGCTTCATCGACCGACTTTGTGCAGGCAGAAGGAGAACTTTCTTTGCTTTCTATATCTCATTGGTGGGTCGTGAGTACAAAATCTTTTCTCTTCTATTTATTACTCATTCCCCGCTATGCAATTTTTTGGTTTCCCCCTTTATGTTAATTTTTTGTATTTTTTTCCCAACGAATCTTTCTGAAGAAGTGTTGGATGAAAAATGTTCCTTATAAAGGAAAAGAATGCGCTCCGTCATGTTTAAAACAATAAATGTAAGATAGAAACATATAATCTAAAATCACAAATCATTCTACTTAATAATAAACCCCTAGATCCTTTCGAGGTTGATATGTTCAACATAATTAAAAAATTCCCCCTTAAGAAAACATCGAACCAATTCCAATACAAAATTAAAAAATACATTAGAGACATAAAAAATTCTAAAAAATTATAGATTAAAGCTGACAAATCTAAAAATATTTACAAAATTAATCCCTCAGACTATCACCAACAAAATCACTAGCAATTATAAAAAGACAATAATAATAACGCTATTTCCACAATCAATAGAGACACTTAAATTTGTCAATAAATCTGAGGTTGCTGACTGAGTGGGAACAGCTCATATGAAAAATGCTTACTTATTTTTTTAAAGACCATAAATACAATTTCGACAATAACCTACAATCCAGATTAATAAATCCTTTTCAAATCTGAGGCTTAATTAAAAAAAAACATAATTAAAAAAATAATATCTGTACAAGAAAACTACTCTATTAATTTTTGAAAAGTTTCGTCAGACACTATTACATAGTTCCGGATTATCACTAATAATTAAAAAACAAAAACGCAACGTTTAATCAATTTGACATCATGATTTCTACCCCCTCCATTTCGAAAGAACTGTTACTAAAGCTTTTGAAATTAACTAAGTATTATATTAACATTACCGATGATAAACTTAAAGTTTTTGTAGCATCTAAACAATCTCTACTAATGTCTAATAATTCTTCTTGGGTTAAGCGCAATAATGATAACCTCGATGTTTTTATGGGAACATATGATTCTGCTCAAATAGCTGACTTAGTAGGTATATATATATATATATATATATATATATATATATATATATATATATATAACATACAACGTGTGTAGCACGTGCGATACCCTGTCTTCATCAGCCGCCGACCAGGGGTGATCTCACGGTTTCGGTGTCCATAAATATATATATATATATATATATATATATATATATATATATATTAGACACCCTCAGTAGGATTATTGACTCCAACCAGATAGGTCTTTACAGAGATGTACTTATTACTATTCCTAATAGTAATGGTTCTCTATCTTTCAAAATACAAAAAGCAACCATAAAAGTTTTCCAATTTCTGGGATTTAAGATTGATATTTCTTTTAAGCTCAAAATTGTTAACTTCCTAGATGTTACCTTCAATCTTTCTATTGATAAATTCAAACCTTTTCATAAAGAGAATCAAACACTCATTTGTATCAACGTCTAATCTAATCACTCTACTCAATAATAAACCAAATTCCTAACACTGTTAATACCAGGGTCAGCAGATTATCGTCAAACAACAAAATCTTTAATGAAAATAAATTCACATTTAATCAAACCCTTAGGAAAAAGTAATTTTACACATGAATTAAATTATCAAGAAAATTTGAAACATAATACATCTAATAAATCTAAAAACAGAAAAAGGAAGCTAATCTGGTCTAACCCATCTTTCTTTAAAATATCCAGTATTAATCTTGGCAAGTATTTCTTAAAATTAATAGACAAGTATTTTAATAATAGCAGATCTTTGAAGAAAATTTTCAATAGGAAAACCTTAAAAAAATAGTTACTCATGTGGTAACAATGTAGAAAGTATAATTATTTCACACAATAACCTACTCTTAAAAAATTTTCATGGCAGTAAATCACAGAAGAAAAAACCTCCTTGTAATTGTAAGATCAAAGCTGACTGTCCAGTTGGAGGGATTTGCATTTGGGAAAATGTGGTATATGAAGACACTATATTTTCAAAGGAAAATATAAACCAGAATAAGGTTTATATAGGAATTTCAGCGAGATGTTGGAAACAACCTTTTTATAATCACCAGCATTTCTTCAGCAACGAATCTTTAAGACAACAAACGGCCCAATCAAAACATTATTGGAATCTCATTGATGGAGGCTTCACCCTGCAATTAAAATGGAAGATCATCTGTATCGCTCGAACTCCCAACAACTTCATGGACAAATGTGATCTTTGCATCAAAGAAAAGATTTTTATAATTAGATATGAAAACACCGACAAATTACTAAACCAACGCAATGAGCTTGTCTTCAATTGTAGACACAAAAATCGTTTCCGAATTCTAAAATAACATCTATTTTGGAGAAACTCATGCTGGAAATTTTGGATGTTGTATATAATACTAACAAGTATTAATATATACAGTATTCATGTATGATCTTTCATGTGGTTTCCCTTCCTCCATCATATATAACTACAATCTTCAAATTATTTTTACACGTATTATCTATTGTATG